AGAAGTAGTCGTCGTCGTAGTAACAGGGATTACGCTCCCCCATCTGTCGTGCAAATGTGGCAAAAGGCAGTGTAAAAGTAGTGAGTCGCAACAAGAAACACAGCGTCAAATAAGGTACGTACGCCTAGTAGTAGTGGTCGTAATTGTAGTAGTAGTTGTCAGCAGCAGCAGCAGCCGCCACACCAGTAGGAAGAATCGACCAAGGAACGAGACAAGACAAGGAAAGAACATAGCTGATGGTACCTCAACTGCCATAGCTACGAGGATGATGACGACTACCGATGGCTGAGATTTGTATGATGGTATTTACTAAGCGGAACGGACTTGTATCTGTATGATCAAGGCAGTTGCAAGTACCATGATGGCAAAAGCACTTCACGTCCATAGCGCAGTGATGCACACAAAGCGCGAATAATGAATCCAAACAAGATGAAGACAAACACAGTAGCCACCAGTGATCGCAAGAGCAGCAACAGCACTCTCATTCAGACACACAACAGCAGCGGAAATAATAGCAATGCCCCGGAAAGCCAGCCTCGGCAACGGCAGCAGCAACCAGAACAGAAGCAACAGTAGCTGCGACGAGCACCATGCCAACACTCAAGCAACTTCGTTGACACAAGTAGCAGCAACGGCAGCATCAACATCAGCATCAACGTCACGATCAGGATCATGATCATGATCATCTTCATCAATCATAATCCTCATCATCACCATCACCGACAGTAGTGGCTTCAGAATCACCACGAGCCTGTTTTCCCTAGGTCACGACTGCTGGAGCCTTTTCTGGCGAAGGCAAGGCTTTTCATCTGCCGGGTTAAGACATTGGGGGACAGAGTTTGGGTCCGTGTACTGTTGTGCCCAGCTGCCCGTTTCGAGCATGAGTTCAAGAGCATTGTACTGGAAGCAAGCTTCACCATTTTGGCAGCAGGTTACTGCAAAGTAGAAGTCAGAGCTCCTAAGCTCTGCGTACCACGTGTTGCAGAACTATCATAGTCACCACAGCAGTATACCTAGTATGCACCCCGGATAGGAGGCAGTGTGTTGGCAACTGTAGTAACAAGAGAATAGCAGGAAGGTCACTTATGGCCGTCCTCGTCGTTGTTTTGTTGCTGTTGCCCGTCGCCAGTAGCGTTGGCAAAAATACAAGCTTTAATGATTCAAAGATCATGACCGAGACTGAGATAACGAACAAATATATCGTGGTAACAGGACTCGATCCGTGCAGGGGATTGCGTCCTCAAGCCCAATCTATGCCCCTTAAATCTCAAGACAGGCCATCGCCCTCTATGCCAACCGGCCAATCCTTGAAGAGGCCTTCTGGGAGCGGCTTCAAGGTTTGATGTTGAAGATCTGAGGTTCAATTGGCTTGTGGTTGAGGCAGGGGGACGAGGAGGAGGAGGAGAGGAGAGGAGAGGAGAGGAGAGGAGCAGAGGAACAGCAGAGGGGGAGCAGCCCAGGAGCAGAGGAGCAGAGGAGCGGGAGCAGGTGGAGCGGTTGGAGCAGGAGGAGCAGTTGGAGCAGGAGGAGCATTGGAGGAGCAGGGAGAGCAGGAGGAGGAGGAGGAGGAGGAGGGGGTTTTCAATCGTCAGCACAAGGCATGCGATGGGAAAGCCGCAAGTCAGGATTCAGCTGCTCTGCTGTTCTTTTTGTCATGCCCCGGCAGCTGGACTAGTCCTTCGCAGGATCTTTTGGGAGCGTTGTAGAGGCTGGTCTTCTGCAGTCTCAGTCTTGGCTGAAGGCCGGGCGAGT